ACTTCTCTTGGGTCTTTATAGACTAAAAGAGGATGCCCTAGGACTTTAAAAAAAAAAAATTAAATTTTTCCAAATACGTGGTTTGAAAAGAGATGAAGGAATCCAAACTCTAGGCTTATCGCCCTAAAGATATTCAAAAGACTCTAGCCAGACAAGCCCATGAGATGAGAACCCCAGTTTCCAGAAGCTACATATGACACAAATTTGGATACAAATTCCCTTAAGTAAGGGTGCCTGAGTGGCACAGTCTGTTAAGCGTCCGACTCTTCATTTCGGCTCCAGTCATGATCGTAGGGTCCTGAGACAGAGCCCAACAGGCCAAGCTCAGAGTGGAGTCTGTTTGGGACTCTCTGTCTGTCCCTTCCACTGTCTCTCTCTCTCTCTAAAATAAATACATAAATAAGTCTTTAAAAAAAATTGTCTCCCTCTCAAAAAAAAGATAACATTTCAAATGCAAAAAGATAAATTATTCACTAAATTTTGGGGGGAAATGCCTAATTATCTGGAAAAAAAACTTTAGGTCCATAACTCATACATGTAGAAATCAATTCCAGATGTGATTACTCTAATTATATATATACATATTTTAACTATAAAAGCACTAGTAAAAGGTATCAGAATATTTTCATATTCTTATACTGGGAAAGACTTCCAACATATGGCACAAAACTCAGAGGTCATAAAGGGAAAAGAGTAAATAATGGTTCTAATTAGATAAATATGTAAAATATCTACACAGCAAAAAGAAACTAAAATAAAATTAAAAGGCAAACAACAGATTCAGAGAAAATATTTGTAATATGTAAAACAGACAAAGGGTTAATATCCATAACCCATAAAGAACTATTACAAATTATAGCAAAAATAAAAATAATCTATAATGGAATCTGTGGTTTTCACAAATATCCATTTGACTCCATTATGCAATTACCATATATGTAGTTTACATGGGATAGAATCCAGCCCAGCTCCAGGATTTAAACCAATCAGAATAATTTCATTCTCTTTGCCAAAATCATTGGTTCAGGTAACCAAGGCCTAAAACAATGGTGTGTGGTATTGACTTGATTTAGGAATAATAATCTAGTCAGTCTGACATTCTAGTCAGTATTATGCCTAGAATTCTGGAATATAAATCTTTCCTTCTGAGGCTTAACACAGCTACCACAGTTTGCAAACAGGCAAAAAGCTAGTCTGAGCATAGAGCCAATCAATCCCAAAAGAGGACAAAGCTGAGAATTTCCAAAAAGGAAACTAGAGCCCTAACTGACTCATATCCAAAACCTACTCTCCTTTTGTGCTTCCTCCTTGTTAGAAAATAAATCCCCTTGAATTTGAGTTGAATTTTGTTATTTGCAAATGAAAGGTTCCTTACTGATACATGCCTAAAAGAAAAAAAAGCAAATGAGCAATTCACAGAACTAAAAATGTCAAAGTATCAAAATTTTAAGTGTTCAACCTACTAACAAAAACATTTTTAAAATTAAAACAAGGTATCACTGTGGGGTTGTAAACCTGGCAAAAAGTAACAACATTGTTAACACATAATTCTAGTAAGAATAGATTTAGGCACTTCATACACAGTTGATAAAAGTGTAAACTGTTAAGGTTTTGGAAGGGAATTTTTACTTACGTAACAAAATTTAAGTTGTGAATTTCTGAGCCCAGTAATTTCTAAAATTGGTCTTTAACCTATAGAAATACTCAAGATGTGTGTGTAGCATACACAGATCTCTGGCCTATAGAAATATTCGATATCTATGTTCACTGTAGCACACTAGCCACTGGAACTAATCTAACTGCACATCAGTAAGAAATGGTTAAATAAATTATAGTACAAACATACCACGGAACACTACGCAGGAGTTTGAAAAGAAAAATAAAAAACATGATATACATATATATTCTAACACAGGAAATGTCCATAATATATATTAAATGAAAAACAAACTGCAGAACAATATGCACAGTAAGACACCACTTTTATAACAGAAAGAAAAAGTCCATAAAGTTAAGAGTCTATATACAGAAGGAATGAAGAGCTTTCATTTCTTTTTTTCATTTTTTTTAAAAGAAGCTTTCAGGGACGCCTGGGTGGCTCAGTTGGTTGGACGACTGCCTTCAGCTCAGGTCATGATCCCGGAATCCCGGGATCGAGTCCCACATCGGGCTCCCAGCTCCATGGGGAGTCTGCTTCTCCCTCTGACCTTCTCCTTGCTCATGCTCTCTCTCACTGTCTCGCTCTCAAATAAATAAATAAAATCTTTAAAAAAAAAAAAAAAAAAAAAAGAAGCTTTCATTTTATACTCCTCTCTCTTCTCAAAAAAATCTGTTACAATGAGCATTTTTTTAAATATTTTATTTATTTATTTGACAGACAGAGATCACAAGTAGGCAGAAAGACAGGCAGAGAGAGGGGAGGAAGCAGGCTCCCTGCTAAGCAGAGAGCTCAATGTGGAGCTCGATCCCAGGACCCTGGGATCATGACCTGAGCCGAAGGCAGAGGCTTTAACCCACTGAGCCACCTAGGTGCCCCTCACTTTTTTAAGATTTTAGAGCATTTTATTTTTTATGTATGGTGTAATTCTACTTTCATTTAAAAATCTATGTATATTAATATTTATACAAATATATAAAAATATACAAATGCATACAAAATGTCCAGAAAAATACACAGCAAAATGTTTTAGGTTTTGTTGTTTTTTTAAGCAACATGTTAACAGTAGTTATCTCTGGGTGGTGGAATTATAGGTGTATTTATTTTCTCTGTAGTTTCTGAAAAATAATTATTACTTATTCAATAATTAACTAAAAATACATTTCAAAAGGAAGAGCAACTAAGCAAACTACCTTGTGGGAGGGTTAACTTTTATTGTCATTTGCTCTAAGCTTTAGGAAATAGACCTTTTTGACTCAAGGATTTGGGAAGCATGGAAACTCCAGCGGAGTAGGCTGGCATAATCTGTGGAACTATGGAAAGATTCATGAAGTTGCAGACACCTGGGGGTAAGGGAAAGGAAGAAGGTGCTCAGCAAGTAATGAAAGCAAAATGGGTTCGAGAGTTGCCTGGGTGGCTCAGTTAAGCGTCTGCCTTTGGCTCAGATCATGATTCCAGGATTCTGGGATTGAGCTCCCCATCGGGCTCCTTCCTGCTCACCGGAAAGACTGCTTCACCCTCTCCCTCTTCCCCCACCCATGCTCTATCTCATAAATAAACAAAATCTTGACCAAAAAAAAAAAAAAAAAAGCAAAATGGAGTGGCTTAACAGCCTAGTGTTAACACTATCATTAAGACACAATGGAAGGACACAGAGTCAAAACCAGACTGTCCAAATCCAAATCCCAGCTCCACCCTAGTTTTAGGATCTTCAGCAAGTTACTTAATCTTTCTGTTTTAGAGGAAGATGTAGATAATTCATCTGTAAAATGGAGATAATGTCAGCACCTACATCAAAGGGTTGCTGTGAGGAATAACTAAATTAATACACACAAAACACTTAGGACAGTGCCTGATACATAGCAAGGGTCATATATGTTTGCTATTAATATATTATGGAGCAGTGGTATAAATCTACTTAGTTCCCCTCTCCTAAGCCACAATAAGAATAACATTTCTGCCCTGATGGAGCTTGTGATCTCGTTGAGAGTACAGGAACAAAAAAGTGAGCCAAGACAGGATGGCCTTTAGCTAACAAGAGTTTTTACACTTTTGAAGAGTTGTAGAAAACAAAACAAAAAATATATGAGATCAATACGGGCTTGCAAAACCTAAACTATTTACTATCTGGCCCTTAACAAAAAAGTTTACTACCCCTTATCTAAATAGTAAGCACTGAACATAATTATATGCACGAGGGCATTTTGAGGGCAGAAGGCAAGCTTTTAACTGTAAAAATCTTATGAGTTGGGAGGGCCTCCGGAGATCAAGAATCCTTTTTGCAAGTTAATGTTATTTCGTTTGGAATCAATCGCATTATTCAAGGACTCTTACCCATCTTTCCAACATAAAACCAGCTATTATGCCAACGGAGAACTCGTGACTAAAATTTGATAGACGTGGGCTCTATCCCTATTTCCACCACCTGTGGCCATAGATATGCCCACCCAAGCTGATTTATGGGCTTCATCTACAAGGTGAAAGGAATGAATGACAAGATGGTGATGGGCAGATCCCTTCTAGGTTAGAAAATCCTCTGGAACATTCATTCTCCCCCAAGGATGGAGAAACAGCTCAACTCCTGCCACACTCCAGGCCCGAAATGGTCACGTGACCGAGTCCCAGTCGAGCAGCTGCGACCGGGTAATCCCAACTCCGCGCTCTAAATGTCGACAGCCGCTCACCTGGCTACAAGCAAAACGAGTGAAACACACACACACCCTGCAATTCAGCCCAGCGCTTTATGCCGACACACACCCGAGCAAACAGGTCGTTAACCCGAGGTGATAAGTTAAAAGACACGGTGACACCGCTGCTCAGAGCTACACGCATAAAGCTAGTCCCAGTTACGGCCCTGATGGCAGTGGTCCCGCAGACCCAGTCCTATGGGGCCTCCCTCCGCTCCCCGGAACTCCACTCCCCGAGGAGAAGGGAGGAGGCCGCGGGCACTGGCGCAGGAGATAGGAAAGGAACTGCGGCTGTCGCTGCAGGGAAAGGCCAGGCGGGAAGCCAAGCGCACTGTCCATCTCACCTTAGCTCTGTCCTCTCGAGCTCTAGCTGCCGACACGGAAGGTTTAGCCTCAAGAGCCGGGACTAGTCCTGACCCAGGGGCGGGTCCTTCCCCAAAGGACCCCCTTCACTCCCGCCCCCGAACCCCTCAGGCTGCCCATCGGCCGCCTGTCTGGAAATCCGGGCACCGGCCTCCTCTCTGGGCCCCCTGCCGTCCAGTGGAGAAAGCGACCTCTCGGCCCCGTTAGCCGGAAGCGAACGGCAGGGCGGGGAGCCAAAGGGGTTTTAGTCAGGCAGTACGTCGGGCGCCTATCTGGGGCCAGGCTGAGCAGAAAAGTCCTCCGCTCCGCAGCCCGCGTCTGAGCCCTTTCCACTTTCGTCCTCTTCAGCTCAAGATGGTGGCCTCACGGGCGATAGGCAGTCTGAGCCGCGCCACTGCCTCCGGGATGCGCCGCTGCCCAGGTGAGGCCTGGCTAGGAGCGCCCCGCAGCCCCGGGCAGAACTCTTGGGAAGCCGGAGGTAGCCTCGTAGCCGCGTCTCCCTTTCGCTGTCGCCTCCCCGCCCGGCCGGGGAACGCAGCCCTGCGTCGGGGGGAAGGATGCCCCTCTGGGACCCAGTCTCCTGTGCCCTTGCGCAGACTGACCCTTCCTCTCTCCCTGCTCCCGAGTCCTGCAGCGATTTCAGGCTCCGTAACCTCACGTTTCTGGGTGCTGCCCACCCGGTCTAGCCCCTTCCGCGAGTGTCTCCGGCGCACTTCTGGCGTCACGCCCCTCTTATTTTCTTCTGTGATGGCTTCGGACCTGACCCTACTATATGGGGAGTTCCAGGAGGACTGGGACAGTCCACTCTGTCACATCTTTGTGGCTCCACATCACCTTACTCGTGACAAGAGCTGTCTTAAAAGCTTCTTAGGTGTAATGGACCAGCCTTGCAAATTACTGCTACTCCCAGCTCCTTTCCCTCAAGACCATTCTGTACCTATTACCACGTTTAAATGAGGAGCTCGAATGTTGCAGTTCCAGTAATCCCAGTATGAAGGTATAGTGTGTTAAATTTCAAGGGAACGTTCTGCAACTTGCCTGAAGAAATATTTTTTTAAATACACAAATACGCTTGTCCTGTCTGTGGACACCCTGAGGGCAAGGTGATGGGGAGGGAGCAAATATCTGAACCCCAACTTAAATCATTTTAAAAACTTTTCTAATTTTGTTTCTGACGGTACCCGGTTAGGTTTACATTAGCTGTATTTTTCTCTTCAGACTGGCAGTGAAAGGGTTAAAGTGGGTGATTATGGAAAATCAAGCGTTTTCCTTCCATCTCAAATCTGTCAGGTGAAATGTAACCTTTTATTACGTGTTACACTTAATACTGGCTGCTAATCAGAATTTTCATTTGTAATATGTCTTTCTCCTGAACACGGTAGCTGGTAGCTGGAGGCTTCTGTACAGGGTAGCTGGTAGCTGGAGGCTTCTGTAAGGGATTAATTTTGGATTCAGACTTTTTCTGAATCTCCACCAATGTTTGTAGTTTCCACAGGACTGCTGTGTGTGTGTGTGTGTGTGTGTGTGTGTGTGTGTATACCAACCATAATATTACAAAAAATTGATACGTAAAGACTAGGAAAAGTTAAGAAAAAAGTCATGCATTATTAGTCACATATAGTAACTATTAGCATTTGGTCATTTTACCTTATAGTTTTGTTGTTGTTGTTGTTTTCCACGTTTATGGTTTAAGGCTTTATGAAAATCACATGTATATATTTGTACTTGCCTATGCATTGGTTTTAAGGTACCGCTTATGGATTAGTAGCTGCTGTAACACTGAGCTGGTAGTCAGGTCATGTGGTTTCCAGTCACTAGTGTAACTTTGGACAAATATCTTGGTCTAACGGATCTTTATTTTCCTCATCTGTAAAATGATTGAGACTTCGGATTTTCTTAGACAGGAGAAATAGGATAAAAGAGCAATTCAAAGCATTAAATTTGGACTCTGACTTTGGTGCTTGAATCTGGCCTAGCCTTTTACTCTCTAGTGACCTTGGACAGTTAATTTCTTCTGTTTTCTCATTTGTGAAGTGCGGAAACTTTGTGAACTTAAAAGGAGTTATTCTAAATTTAAAGCAATTTTTCATGGACTAAACGTTCAGTACATGCTGCTATTAACTCTTTTCTGCCCTGAAGAACTGATTCTGTGTATCTGAGAATTTTTAGAAAAAATTTTTATATTTTATATATGTAATAACAAGCTTAGCTTTTCTATATTTTTTGTATAGATATATATATACACATGTAAATGTATATTTCACCAATAAGAAAATATGGCTTATAGTTTTTGTCCATTTGAATAACAATTTATGAATTTTGTGAAAACATATCTGGAAAGTGAGTTCAAAATTACCTGCACACCTGGATTGCCATTTAATTCAACATATTGGTCTTTTACCCTGAAAACCTGTGCCAAAGCCAGTGTTTAATGAGATTATGACATTTACTGGTGGATGGATAAATCTTTTGAAACTGATTTGTTTCTTTCATAGTTCAAACCCATTCCTCCCCCACTAATACTATAATTCTGAATATGACTGTCAAATGACAGTCAAATGACAGTCACAACTTGACCAAGATATCTTAATTCCCATTCCTAAATCTAAATTTCTAATTATGTAAGTGGTAAAATAATTTCATTGAATTAGAGGCAAATAGTAAATAATGTATGTTTAAATTTGACTCACTTGCTTAATCCTATCTCTTCCCCCAGGGTTGAATATTGAGAAAAGTTGTTGATTGTTACTACCAAAGTAACATTTTTATATTTGAAATTTGTGTCAGCCTAATGCACCTCTCTCCTCTGCTATAGTTTTAGGTTTTGTAGTATCTTCTTGAGTTAAATTATCAGATGATTAAGAAGTAGGACAAAGGTTTCTCTCTTTTGCTGGCACAGTTGATGTAGGCTAAAGTTCACCTAGCTGCTGTGAAGTTAACTTTCCAGATTACATAATGGTAAGCGCTAGATTTCAAAAGCAAAGCTACCTTGTAGCTACCAACTTGATTTTTTAGCTGGCCGGGGTTTGAATTCAAGATAAGTTTGTACACTTACTGATTTTCTCTTTTTTGTTTGTTTATCTTGATTTAGAGGAAGTTTTGTGTATGTGAATACGGGTGTGTGTGTTTGTGCAGCAGAGGTAGATTAGTGGTAAGGGTTTAAAATGATTTGAACCGTAACCTAACGAGCACCAACCTGCTATCTCAAAGAGTTGGTCTTTAAAAGTGCAACCTATGCTAGGCCCTCGCACCTGCTCTGTTTTTTTGTTTTGTTTTTTGTTTTTGCTTAGCACTTATCTCCTAACATACTTCTTTACATATTTTTTTGGCTGTCTTCCCACCCCATCTTTCCCACCGTGCATTCCCAGTCAGTCCATCCCTACTCTCATCCACTTTACCCTGTTCCAGCTATAATTGCTTATTCCCTGCTTCGCCTCCCACTGGAATTTCCATTTCACAGGCAAACTCCTTTTTATGCCAGGCCTGTTTTCACCTCTTCATGTATCTCTACTGGGTAGGAACTGAATCTTCCTATGATATGTGTGTGTGTGTGTGTGTGTGTGTGTGTGTGATCCCCTGCTGCTATAGAATGTAAGCTACACAGAGTCAGGGATTTTATCTTTTTGTTCACTCCATGTGCCTAGAACAGGGCATGGCACATGGTAGGCCACAAGGATTTGTTGTTGTTGAATGAGGGAGTGCGAGCTGATGTTGGAAGAGTTACGCGTTAGTTGGAGGAAACACCTGCTATGGATGCAGTGATTAGAGAACAAAATAGTAAATAATAAAAATCAAAAGGGATTTTGAAGGGAGGGGAAAGATCGCTGTAGATGGAATCTCATGATAAGGCCTTGTAAAAGAGGGTAGAGCCATGATACAAAGATAAAAAGGAGTGATAAATACAGATGATTCAGATTTTAAATGATGGTAAAGCAGAGAAAGGAAGTGTGTCCTTAGAGAGGTAGAGGCATGATGATTGAGGATATGGCTGACTTCTATCTTCATTTACTTGTGTCTAGCACTGTGACTTACAGATACTTTTATAATCATTACATCACTTTTATTTCTGTCTTTATAAGAACACTGAAGTGCACTAAGAGACTTGTTCATGGTTATACAGCTTATAAATATAAACGATGGTTGAAAAACGTGATGGTTGAACCTAAGTCTTAACTCTCGGGTCCTTTCTCTTTGCACTCAGATGGCTGATTTGGATTAGCTTAAAGAAAAAAATGCAGACAGAAACAGAGATCACCTCACTCTGGTACTTGCGTCATCTACACAGCTTTCTTTTAATATGTTGCTTGCCTTTCAAACTAGTGTAAAGCTGCTATTTTCTGTGCCGTCTTTTCCCCTCTCTTTAAGGACTTGCCGGATAGGGGCACCTGGTTGGCTCAGTCGAAGAGCATGAGACTCTTGATCTCAGGGTTGTAAGTTCCAGTCCCACATTGGGTATAGAGGTTACTTAAATAAATAAGACTTTAAAAAAAATAATAGGGGTTCCTGGGTGGCTTAGTTGGTTAAGCATCCAGCTTGCTTTTGGCTCAGGTCGTGATCTCAGGGTTATGAGATCCAGCCTTGTGTCAGGCTCCACGCTCAATAAGGAATTTGCTTGAGATTATTTCTCTCCCTCTGCCCACTCCCTCCCCACCCCCCGGGCCCTGTGCATGCTTTCCCTCTCTCTCTCTCAAGTAAAACTGCAGGATAGAGGGAAAGAAGGAGGAAGCAAGAGCTACTGCTAATGGTCCCTCTCCGAATCCACTGAATCAGTGGGTTCTCCAAGTCAGTGGCTCTCACATGCCCACTTGTTTGCTGTCTGCTTCAGTTTCCTTTTTAAAAAATATGGACTCTTCCACCCGGTTAGATCCACACATGCAGTCCCCCTTGGATTCAGCTGCCTCTGCCCTTTGTGACTCCTATTATCTGTATAAGCCCCAACTGACCCATATGATATCTATGCTGACCTATAGATAGGGCCATCTCTATGCCCCTATTCAGCAGGAAGAAGTTACAGAAGATGAGACCTTCCACCCTCAGCAACCTTAAAGATTTAAGGGTCAAAACTGTTCAGTGGGAGATGATGTGGGAAACAAAGGCAGAAGAGAAACTATTAAATTTCCATACTACTTGTAGCCCATTGACAAGTCCTTGAAACAGGCAGAGTGACATTCCTCTAGAGATTCAACTGCCTCAATGTTATTAGGCCCAATTTTATCATAGGCCCAATGTTATCAGCCCCAATTACTTTGCTTAGGGCAAAAGACAATCCTAAATCCTACCCTCACCCCCCCCTCCCAGGATCCTATAAGTCTCCTTTAACATATAAAAATTCCTTTGGAAACTTCCTTTAGCTCTACTCCCCAAGAGACATGTTAGTGATCCTCCCCCAAGCATATGACCCACCGATATGCATCTGAAGGGTCTCATGACTGAGTTTCTACTGAACAGTAATAAATGACCTTTCCTGTCAATGGCTAGCCCCCTCAGGATCCTTGTTTCCAAAATACCTGGGAGGCTTGCACTATCCCTAACCCCTCTCAACTTGAAAATATATAACGGGCCACCACTCCTCAGGACCTCAGTGCAGCTCTTTCTGCCCATGGTACTGTCCTCATGCTTTAAATAAAACCACCTTTTTGCACCCAAAACAAAAAAAGGGACTCTGAGGCCCAGCGCCCTTAAATTCTGATTCTGTGGTTCTAGGTTATATGTCACCCAGACATTTGTGAGTGTATTTGAGCCTACCCCACTGATTTTAATGTCTAACCTAGCTCTGAAATCACTTCTCAATACTGCTATGGAAATCGCAGTCCGGCTGGATATGTTGGGAAGTCTTTTGGGTCCTGCTTTGGCCATGTGTAATAGTTCCCCAATCCAGAAGGGTCCGTGCCTCCTGGTCAGACATAGACCATGATCAACTTAAAAATGGGTATAGTTCTAAAGTTTGTTTCTAAATCATGTAGAGAGTGTTTTTGATAGAGGTGATGTTTAAAAATTTCATTTAGACTACTACCATGACATAACATGGCCAATGTGGTTTAATTTTTTGCCCATTACCTTTGATTATCACTGCATGCTAAGGCAGTCTAAGACTCTTGTTTGACATCCCTCAATTCTGAGCCAGATGAAGGTAGGGGCTTTGGAGAATGAGAGACTAGGCAGAAAGAGAGACAGATGGTCACAGGCCAGTGGGAAGGTTTAGCTGCTGAGAGGTTGCTAGGGATTTTTTTTTTAAAGATTTTATTTATTTATTTGACAGAGATCACAAGTAGGCAGAAAGACAGGCAGAGAGAGAGGAGAAAGCAGGCTCCCCGCTGAGCAGAGAGCCTGATGTGGGGCTCAGTCCCAGGACCCTGGGATCATGACCTGAGCCGAAGGCAGAGGCTTTAACCCACTGGCCACCCAGGCCCCCCAAGATTGCTAGGGATTTTAACCTTTTTTTTTTTTTTTAAATAGTGCTCCTAAATTAGGCAGGCACTCCACTCTTTTGCATTATATTGTGCATTCCAAGACTGTATGCAGCCCCAATGCTGTATATTTCAATGAAAATCAGATATAAAAAAGTTTTAATACTAATAATTAAGAATAAAATAATGGTGGAATATTATTCAACCATAAAGAATGCAAAGTTGCCGCTTATAACACCATGGGTAGAACTAGAGCATATTATGCTAAGCAAAATAAGTCAGTCAGAAAGACAAATACCATATGAAGTCATTCATATGTGGAATTTAAGAAAGAACAGTGAGCAAAGGGGGAAAAAGAGAAACCAAGAAGCAGACTCTTAACTAGAGAGAACAAACTGATGGTTACCAAAGGGGAAGTGGGAGGGAGGGATGGGTGAAAGAGGTGATGGGGATTGAAGAGTACACTTACCATGATGAAAAGTAAAATAATAAAAGGAAAGATTAAATTTGCTGATATTTAATATATGAATTGATAGAGGTACATGCACATAATTTCTTTTAAAAGGAATAAAACAAATACTGAGGGAAAGCTAGTACAAGTAGCTAATAGTAGAGATAATGAAGGAACCACTGGATATTATTAAAGCACTAATTCCCAGGTACAGGTGTTCATGTATATTGTTACTACGCTCATGTGTATTGCTACTACGCTCACTAATTATTAAGGGATGATTTGTTTTTATTTTTATTGCTAAAGAAAAAGTAAATTTTGTTCTAGGATATTGGACAAGGTTTGGAATAAGGAGTAAAGGATTAAAGAGGTGTATAGGAGGGGCACCTGGCTGTCTCAGTAGGTGGAGTATGCAACTCTTGATCTCAGGGACATGAGTTCAAGCCCTGTGTTGGGCATGGAACCTACTTAAAAAAAAAAAAAAATTGTAAAAAGAAAAAAAGATACCTAGGAGATAGGGTTTGAAGTGAACCATGAACATGAAAGACAAAGGAAGAAAGAGCAGGGTGTTTTTAAAGAAGCTTGGAAGTTGTAACTAAGGGATGTGGACCCTGTGCTGGCCTCCAGAGTAACTTGGTTACTACCTAGAGCAAGATGTTTAAATTAGAGCAAGACAGAGGTGACGCTTTAATGGTAGTAAGGAGGTAGAGTAATTCCCAGAACAAACTTTGGATTTTTGCCTAAGAATTTCACAGTGTTCCCTACCTTCTGTCCACAGTCCAAGTTCAGTCTTCTCTTGTGATGGCTTGTGCTCAAAACATCATCTTATCATTATTATCTGGGAGAGCCTCAAGTAGTGAAGTGATTAGGAGGAGGGAGAAGTGTAGTGGGTCTTTGGTCCTCCCCATGGTAGGAGTATTCTCGGTAGAGGGCAATAGAGCCCTGTTCAGTTAGAAATTCTTAAAATAGCAGAGTGTGACTGGACTATTTCATAAATGGCCACTAGTGCCTGTTGATGTCACCATTTTTTAAAGTTTTTATTTGAATTTCAGTTAACATACAGCGTAATGTTAGTTTCAGGTATAGAATATAGTGATTCAGCCCTTCCATACAACACCCGGTGCTCATCACACGTGCACTCCTTAATCCCCATCACCTATTCAAGACACCCCCCCACACACACTTTCTGGTAACCATCAGTTTGTTCTCTATAGTTAAGAGTCTGTTGCTTGGGGCGCCTGGGTGGCTCAGTGGGTTAAAGCCTCTGCCTTCATTCAGCTCGGGTCATGATCTTAGGGTCCTGGGATCGAGTCCCACATCTGGCTCTCTGCTCAGCAGGGAGCCTGCTTCCTTCTCTCTCTCTGCCTGCCTCTCTGCCTACTGGTGATCTCTCTCTGTCAAATAAATAAAATCTTTTAAAAAAATAAATTTAAAAAAAAAGTCTGTTTCTTGGTTTGTTTCTCTCTTTTTTTCCTCTTTGTTTTCTTAAATTCCACATATGAGTGAAATCATATGGTATTTGTCTTTCTCTGACTTACTTTGCTTAGCATAATACTCTCTAGCTCCATCCATGAGGTTGCAAATGGCAAGATTTCATTCTTTATGTCTAAGTAAAAATCCATTGTAAATTATTTTACTTTTGATAACACTGGAAAGTCCATCTCCATAAAAATACAAGAGGATGTGGCTAGAGAACATGGTTGAGTATATTTGTTATATACCTGGGACTGACAATATGGATTGCTTTGTAGATTACTTATTTGCTACTGTGTTCATTTCCTATTGCTGCTGTAACAAATTTCACAAATTTAGTGTCTGAAACAATACAAATTTATTATCTTACAGTTATGGATGTCAGAAATGAGTCTCACTGAGCTAAAATCAGAGGTGTTGGGGGCGCTTGGGTGGCTCAGTGGGTTAAAGCCTCTGCCTTCGGCTCAGGTCATGATCCCAGGGTTCTGGGATCGAGCCCTGCATCGGGCTCTCTGCTCAGCAGGGAGCCTGCTTCCCACCCACTCTCTGTCTACTTGTGATCTCTGTCAAATAAATAAATAAAATATTTAAAAAAAAAAATGTTGGCAGGGCTGTGTTCATTCTGGGTGACCTAAGGGAGAATTCATTTCCTTACCTTTTCTAGCTTTCCAGGTGGAGGCTGCCTGCTTTTCTTGACTTCAAAGCCAGCAGAGTGGGGCTAAGTCCTTATGCTGCCATCTCTCTGGTCCTCCTTGACTCTCTCTTCTTCATGATTACATTGGGCCCACTTGGATAATCCAGGCTACTCTGTCTCTCTCTCTCTCTGTGTGTTTAGTTCAGCTAATTAGCACCTTAATTCCCTTAGCCATGTAACCTAACATATTCACAGTTTCTGGAGACCTGGACATCTTTGAGAGGGCAATTCTTCCACCAACCACATGTACTATTTAAATAATCTCATAAGCTGATCTTTTAAATGAAACAGATATGGTAGTAGTCACAATAATGGCCTAGAATACATTATTCTCATTTGGGGGTTTTTGCTATTGTTATAAATTCCAGCTTTGTTATATTTAGCAAGTACTACAACAGTTATGTTTTACAAAGTAATTAATTTTGAATGCCTTTTTCTTGTAGGTTATATTTGCCGCAACTTTTCAGGGTCCTCTGCTTTGCGAAGTAAGTTTAATTTCTTACTGACATGCTTACACTGCTTTTTAAATTTGTTTAGCAATAAACGTGTTTACAAATAAATTGTCTTTCCCTTTTTAGCCAGAACCCATATTAACTATGGAGTCAAAGGGGATGTGGCTGTTGTTCGAATTAACTCACCCAATTCAAAGGTACCTAATTTTAACTTGCTGCAGTCTCTTTCTCCTAATACATTCATGAATCCAGCGCTGAATAGGAGGGAAAGAAATCCACCAATTTGGCAGTAATCTCACATGAATTTGTAGTTTTGATAGTTTCACAAATTGTTCAAGGAGTGCAACTTTCTGGAGCAGAGGTCCTTGTTTGAGAATTCCTTCTAGATGACCGTAGGTGTCAGATTAACATCCCAGATTAATGAAATTAGCCTTCGATTGCTGTGTCGCATGCTGAGGTGACTTATTAGATAAGAACCAAAGTGCAAGCTTTGTTTTATAAGAGAAGTCACCTGTTCATCTTAACTACCAGGTTGTTACACATGCTTTCCTCATTACCTGCCTGATGTCGTTATCTGTAGAAAATTGTCTGGGTTAAATGTGGTTGTTAAGCTTCCTGAGGAACTTGAATGAATGACTGAGTGTAGTTCACATATTGGAAGTCAGGTTCTGTTCTAAGTGAAGCCTCATTTGTTTTTGGCAGATTCAGGAAAGCATGGGGCATTAATCCAGTCTTTGCCAAGAAGACCTTTATTGCAGGAGCTCATGCTTTTCCCCCCATCTAAAATTGATGTTAGGAGGGGCGCCTGGGTGCCTCAGTCGTTAAGCCTCTGCCTTTGGCTCGGGTAATGATCTCAGGGACCTGGAATCGATCCCCACATCTGGCTCCCTGCTCAGCGGGAAGCCAGCTTCTTCCACTCCCTCTCCCACGCCCCCCCCGGCCCCGCGTGTGTTCCCTCTCTCGATGTCAAGTAAATAAAATCTTAAAAAAAAATGGTTGGTGTTAGGACACCTGGATGGTTCAGTTGATTAAGTGTCTGACTTGATCTCAGCTCAGGTCTGGATCTCATGGTTGTGAGTTCAAGCCCCACATTGGACTCCACACTAGGCTTAGAGCCTACTTAAGAAAACAGATAAAATTGGTGTCAAGTTTTCATATTTCAGGAATACTGTTACTAAAGGCCTAGATGGAATAGGAGGACATAGATGGAAGCAATTAACAACTATCACAAATTAAGGAAAATAACCAGTCCCCCTCACTAGGATGAATTTTGGTGCCCACTGACCAATGAGTCAAACTTAAGGTATTTTTTTCAGAATTTTCTAAGTTGAGCATTTTTTCTGAGCACAGACTCAACACATCCCTATAGTGGGAAGTTTGAAAGCTATACAGAGGAAAATAACAAGTCATTCATACTACAAACCCAAAGGCAAATACCTTCAACTTTTTTTTTTTTTTTTTTTCAGTTTTATTCTTTGGAGAGAGAGAGAGAGCATGCACAAGTAGGCAGAGCAGCAGGGAGAGGGAGAGGAGAAGCAGGCTTCCCGCTAGGCAGAGAGCCCGATGTGGGGCTCGATTCCAGGACCCTGGGACCATGACCTGAGCCGGAGACAGACATCCAACTAACTGAGCTAGCCAGGTGCCCTGACTTTTAACATTTAATCCAGTTTCAACAAATAATATTTACAAAATAAGATCATATTATATGTCTAACTTTGATTCCTTTTTTTCTTAATGTTATATGAATTTTTCCTTACTAACAAGCATGTGTAGACTTATTTGTAGCTCACATATGATTCAGATTCTTAGGAGTGTGACCCTGAATTTCTCCTTTGAGTAGATGTATTTTGTGTGTATGTTAAAGATTTTGAGTCATTAATGGGAAGACACTGATGAACTACTACAGCCAGTTCAAAGAAGAATCCACAGTACCTACAAATTTATAGATCAGGAATATTGAAATAAATTTGCAAATGGAGACAAACTGATTTTTCCACATGGAGCTGGTTGTATCTTCTGGGACAATTCATTTGCATGCCTGTAGACAAGAATATTTTTTAATTGCTTTCAGTTATCTACACAGAGATTTAACATAATTCCAAAGAAGCGGAAAAAAGATAGCACAGAATGGTGTGCTATAGATAATGCAGTTTCTTTGGAAAACAAAATTTCCCCTATCTAAATAATGTTACAGGTGGAAGTTGTCCTCTTAAAATTCATAGGTTGAAGCTGTAAGCCCCAGTGTGATGGTATTTGGAGGTGGAACTTTTGGAGTTAATTAGGTTTACATGTGGTCACGAGGGTGGAGCCCTCATGAAGAGATTGGTATCTTTTTTGTGTGTGTCAGTGGTTCTTTTTTTTTTTTTTTTAATTTAAATTCAGTTAATTAACTTACAGCGTATTACTTCAGAGTGTATGTACTTCTGATTTAAAGCCTTAGATGTATGTGTATTTCCCTTTGGCAGGTGAACACACTGAATAAAGAACTGCAGTCTGAGTTCATGGAAGTAATGAATGAAATCTGGGCTAGTGATCAAGTCAGAAGTGCTGTCCTTATCTCATCAAAGCCGGGCTGCTTTATTGCAGGTGCTGACATCAAGTAAGTTTTCGAAGATTGGAAGTCACATTTTATCTTGGCTAATAGTATGTTTCTCAGGCCTAATCATTCCTTCTCTTAAAAGAAGGTAGAAGTAAATTCTCTGAACGTTTTCTTTTTTCAAGTTATTTTCACAAGTGTAATAAAGTTGATAGAAGAAGGGCTTGTTGCTTAAACCATGTAAGACTAATCTTCCTTAAAGAAGTCGAAAGCAGTTCTAAGAATATTGGCGTAGAATAAAAACTATTGTACAATGAAACTATGAGGTGCACCTTTTTTTTTTAACCCAACAGACCAACAAATATTTAAGTTTGAAAATACCGTGTTAGCAAGGACTTGGAAAAATAAGAAAGTTAATATATTACTAATAGGAATGCCAATTGCTACAGCACCTTTGGAAAACATTTTGACAGCCTTTAATGAAATTGAAAATGCACGTATCGTCTAATTCAGTGATACCTCATCTAGCTATATATGTACTAAAGAAATCCACCCTTTGTTTTTAAAGACATGTGTATAAGGATGTTCAGCCCTATGTAGTTTAAAATAATGAAGAATTTGAAGCAATTAAATGTCAGTTATTAGGGAAATGGGAAAGCAAACAAACTTTCATATGATAAAATACTACAAAACGGCTCAAAGGAATTAACTAGATCCACAACATAATGTTAGAGCTCAAAAATGTAATGTTAAGTTTTATAGACTTTTATAGACTTTTTAAAAAAGATTTTATTTATTTATTTGACAGAGAGACACAGCAAGAGAGGGAACACAAGTAGGGGGGATGGGAGAGGGAGAAGCAGGGAGCCCGATGCGGGGCCCCTATGACCCAAGCCTAAGGCAGATGCCCAGTGACTGAGCCACCCAGGTGCCCCTTAAAAAAAAAAAGCAAGTTATAGAACATTCTGTATAGCATGTAGTTTATGTAAACATTTTAAAATCACAGTGAGATGCCTCTGTTATTTATAGATACAAATATGTAATTGGTCTGGAAGGATACATTACAAGTATTTGAGAATGGTTGCTTCAGGGAAAATGAAGTAGCTGGTAGGACTCTGAGGTTGTCAAAGGGAACTTTAGTGATGCCGCTAATATTTTCTTTTTTTTAATGGTGGAATTTATGTGTATGTAACGTGCTTATAGTTTTTTAAAGCATGTATAAGGAGGTGAAATTCTATCATAGCGTTAGTTTAATGGGCTAAAATGTTACCAGTTGTTAATTCTGTCAAATACAAGCATTCGTTTTATTATTCTTTGTACCTTAGGCAATGATAGCCAGCATTAGAGGCTTAGTAATTTGTACTTAAGGTGTTTGTATAGTTTTAAATCTTGCTCCACATTGTGTACTCTTTTTTTATGTATAGTAATTAGGAATTTATAAATATTTTGGTGTTTTTTTTAGAAAAAGCAAAATTACCTGTATCAAGTGCTTTTTCTTCTAGCTTAGTTATTTGAGCCTAGCAAGGCACTGACATACCTAGCACTAGCTTCCTATATCCAGAGGATAATACTTGGCAGCTTCTGTGAGGCTAGCTGAGCAACTCCCAGTATATAAAATGCTAAAAACTAGTTATATTTGGTCAAACTTAAAAAGCCACTTTAAATGCGTTAAAGAACAAAGTAGCAAATGAAACAAACTGAAACTAAAGGACATGAAGTACATTACTGTTGTTCTTTTATACTCATTAGGAGATAAATAACTTGAAAGCTTTTTTTTTCCATTGTTATTTTGATTGCTGTTCAATCTGGGAGTCACTTGATAGTAAAAATGGTTAATGTGATAGTGAAAATATTTACCAGAAGATGATTTTCTCATGTACAGAAAGCCTTGTGATCTAATGTGTTGTTTTTTTTAATAGAAAATAAAATTACACAACATGTTTTGTTTCATGTTCTCTGGATCCAGAAGTCTGACACTTTTTATGGAGAGGTGATGTGGCTTTATGGAGAGATGATGTTGCTGATATTAGTGCTGAGGCAAAACCATTCTTAAACACTTGAGTATTTGAAGATACACTATCGAATATTGGTAGATGATAGGGCAGGGATACAATGGATGAGGTATTGAACAAAGTAGGGTATAATTTCATCTTTTTTTTTTTTTTTTTCTCTCTTCTCTGCTTTCATGTTTACTACAGCATGTTAGCTTCTTGCAAGACCTCTGAAGAGGTAACACAAATATCACAGGAAGGACAGAGAACATTTGAGAAACTTGAGAAGTCCACAAAGCCTATTGTGGCTGCCATCAGTGGAGCCTGCTTAGGAGGAGGACTTGAGGTATTGATTTCTTTCAAAGTCATTGAGATGTTGTTCAGCATATTGATGGGAATTACAAGCTGCAAACCTCTAGGCTACGATTTTGCCTGCAAAAAATTCTCGGAGGAGGATCAGCTTTCTTTTTAGTTGTCAAACTTCTGGATAGGTTTCAATCCTTATTTCATGGCACAGAGCAAGTAACCAAAAGTGTGATGTTTTCATTTTTATAAATTGAGAAGATTTGAACTACATCTCCAAGGTCGTCTTCAATTCCCAAAACCTGGTTCAGGTTTACACGGCAAAGATTCAGAAGTGTGGTCTATGCTTTCGAGCTACTTAAGTCTAGATGAGATTCACAGAGCGTAATATGTGTTTAAGTGCTTTGTGAGCAGTAAAGATGGTGAATAATTTAAGATTTTAGAGGAGAGATGCTTGCTAGACTGGAGCATGTAGGAAAGGAGAGGAGAAAATAAAATAACGTTTAATGAGCATTTATCACATACTGGGCTCTGTGCTAGACACTTTCACATACATTAATTAAGGAAACCTATGCCTGGTCCTAAGAAATCGGCAGAAATTGGTTAATCAGAAAATAATGGGGAAAAAGATCATTTCACATATGGCATGGTATGAACAAAGACAACAGTGAGCAAAGACAACAGTAGGTAAAGCCTATTCGATCACTGTAAGTAGGCCTGTTTGGTTGAAAAGGAGGGTCTCTGTAGGATACAGGCCTTCTTAACTTGGCGTGCAATGTACAGTGATGTATGTGTATTTTTCTGTTTAGACCTAGCTTTCAGCAGGTTCTTAAGGAGATCCAGAACCCCAGGAAAGGTTCATTAGGGGGAAAGTATGAAATAAGCCTGGGAAGCTAAATTATAGAAAGCATAAAATACATTCCTGCTTTATAAGTAATCTTTAGACCTTCGCATATCTGAAGATATTTATAAAGTTACATTTTCTAACATTCTAATTTTTTTTTACTTGTTTGAAGCTTGCCATTTCCTGCCAATATAGAATAGCAACCAAAGATAGAAAAACAGTATTAGGTACACCTGAAGTCTTGCTGGGAATCTTACCAGGAGCAGGAGGCACACAAAGGCTGCCCAAAATGGTGAGTTTAAGCCTCCTTGTGACCTTTAGAACCTCAGTACTTATGGGTCCCTTTATCTGTTCTTTTTATTCAATTATGGTTTGGTTTTATTTTGTTTTTGCAGTATTTGGTTTATTTAGGTTGGCATCGGGGAAGAAAGCATAGTTTATTTTTAAAGCAAAGATTAAGAGTTAAGTTACAGTAATAAAGAGAGCTCCTCTGATAGTATTTAAAAAGTCTTAACATTTCAAATGACAGGGAAGTTGGATGGGAAAGGTGAGTATGCTAAAATTGTTATCGTGCGTTAAGAGGAGATGATTACATTCAAGTTCACAGGGATAACAGGTCTCTTCTTCATACATTCTCTAGTTTTGGCTATCAGACAATTTTCTAGACTAAGCTGCTATTTTGAGAACACATGAAAATACATAATACAGAACTGGAGATTCAAATAGAACACAGACCTATTTGTTAAGCAAGAGAAATGTAACCTCAAGTTATGCTTATCTTTACTGAAGACGTAGTTCTTTTAAGACATCTGATTCCAACTTATCTTAGATTTGGAATGAGTCTACCAAAACTGCCTTGGATACTTAACATCATAGAAATAAATATGAATTGCTCTTATAATTCTTTTTTTTTAGGATTTTATTCATTTGAGAGAGAGATAGAGAATGAGCATGAGCAGTGGGGGAGGAGGCAGAGGGAGAGGGAGAAGCAGACTCCCTGCTGAGCAGAGAGCCCAGTGCAGGGCTCCATCCCAGAACCCTGAGATCACGGCTTTAGGCAGATGCCTAACTGAATAGCCACCTAGGCACCCCATGCTCTTGTAATTCTTTATACAATCACAGGAACATTAAGAGTTGAATCAGTATTTCACAGAAGGTGTTTCCCAGGTAGCAGGAACTGAAAAATCTGTGGGAAATGGTCCTCACTTTGTATTGACAGACATAATGACTTTACTTTTCTACAAAAGAGAAAAAAATGTAACTGTGATGCTGTTTCTTTTTTTTTAACTTATTTAAATTCAATTAATTAACTTCTGTATTACATAGTTTCAGAGATAGAGTTCAGTGATTCATCAGTCTTATGTAACACCCAGTGCTCATTACATCACTGGTCCTTTAGATCTATTTCCTCCGATACAAAAGGCATAATATGGATATTCATTGTATAATTTAGAAACAAAATAAAATATGGGTGTATAGGATCAGTAGCAAATTTTATTACTGTTGTTTGGTTTATTTTCTCAATTCTACTTTTTTAAATTCCTTGATCAAAATGAAATTTTTAAAGATTTTATTTAGAGAGAGCATGTACATTGGGGGTGGGGGGACAAAGGAAGAAGGAGAGCCCCATGCAGGTCTTGATCCCACAACCCTGGAATCATGACCTGAGCTGAAATCAGGAGTTGGCTGCTTAACCGACTGAGCCACCCAGGCATCCTAAGTCCTTGATCAAAATTACGATTAATTACTAATCCCTAAAGAAGTATAAAGGTAAATATTTACCTTTCTGGAACATAATAGTTTTTGGGGGTTTGTTTTTATGTGTGGGGGGGGAGTTGTTTGTTTGTTTGTTTACTTTTTTAAAAAGATTTTATCTTTAGGTAATCTCTACCCCAGCATGGGGCTCAAGCTTACAACCCTGAGATCAAGAGTTGCATGCGTTCCAACAAATCCATGGGTCATATTTCATGATAACTGTGAGCCAGATCTTTCTCTTGATTTGGATCATATCAACTGCTGTATTCTATAGAACCAAAAGAGACCAGTCAGGCTTTTGAATTCATAAGGAGAAGAGAAGGACAGTCAGACTTAGAGGCTACAGAGCAATGTTTTTTGTTGTTATCTTTTTTTTTTTTTTAAGATTTTATTTACTCATTTGAAGACAGAGATCACAAGTAGGCAGAGAGAGAGGAAGGGAAGCAGGCTTCCTGCTGAGCAGAGAGCCCGATGCAGGACTCGATCCCAGGACCCTGAGATCATGACCTGAGCCAAAGGCAGAGGCTTTAACCCACTGAGTCACCTAGGCACCCCCAGAGCAATGTTCATACCCACTGAATCCTACAGCTTCAGGCACTGTTAGTTCCTCAATGAAAATAGGGCTCAGCTGAAATACTCTTTGGAGGGAAGTTGATATGACCTGGGCATAGAAAAATAGGAAGATTTATGATATTAGTTTTCTGATAATAAATAGTGTGCATTCCTTCATAGAAATTGTCAGGAGGATTTATTGAAAGCATAAATAAGCCTATATGGTGTAGAAGATATTCCTGTGTTTCTTTCATTGTCTTGCAATAGTTGGTATTTGAATGTTGTTAGAAACCATTCTTCAGGTACTTACGTAAGAAGCTCTAGCTGAGTTCTATTTTTAAGTCTAAAATTCTTATTAAAAATATTGTTGGGCACCTGGGTGGCTCAGTCAGTTAAGCATCCGGCTCTTGATTTCAGCTCAGGTCATGGTCTCAGGATCCTGGGATCAAGCCCTATCCCCCACCCCCCAACCCTAGGCTCTCCCTCTCTCTCTCAAATAAATAAATCTTTTTCAAAAAAAAATTTAAAAATACATGGGGTGCCTGGGTGGCTTAGTGGGTTAAGCCTCTGCCTTCAGCTCAGGTCATGATCCCAGGGTCCTGGGATCGAGCCCCGCATTGGGCTCTCTGCTCAGTGGGGAGCCTGCTTCTCCCTCTCTCTCTGCCTCCCTCTCTGCCTACTTGTGATCTCTCTCTCTGTCAAGTAAATAAAATCTTTTTTAAAAATTAAAAATACATAAATAAATAATGACATTGTCAAAATCATCAGGTTTCTCAATCTCCACTAGCTCCACCAAAGGAATTTTAAGTATTATATAAATGACATAATACATAAATGCACAGTTTTAGGAAACAATTATTTCTCTACTGTATCAATTCCCTAAGACAGAAATCTTACATATTGAATTAAAAGAAGAGATACAGACATTTTTGCTTCAACGGGAAGTGTCTAATCCCAAAAGTTACCTAAATGTATACTTTGTGTGTAAAATTTAACTGGTTGATAAATAGCATAAAAATCTGGTTTGACTTTCCTCATTTATTTATTTTGCTCTGTTGAATGATTGTAATTGTCATTCTGGTATTCTCCCCTGTACTCTGATCCTTGCTTGCTTGGTAGGTGGGTGTGCCTGCTGCCTTTGACATGATGTTGACGGGTAGAAACATTCGTGCAGACAGAGCAAAGAAAATGGGACTGGTTGACCAATTGGTGGATCCCCTGGGTAAGTGGTAGCATGCCTCAGAATTGGGCCTTACGAAGTTTGTTTGTTAGTTTGTTTGTTTTAAAGTTAATATTGGTTAGAGTGAAATCAAACTCTAAAGAAATGAGTCATTCTGAAGAGTGAAGTTTTCTGAATATAGCTAATACTAAATCCTCTCTAACATTAATCACCCCAACTTTTATTTTATAAATTGGACATCAAGAGTACAGAATTGAATCAAATCCTTATTTTTGGTTCTTAAATTACCTGTATCGTTATTCATGATAACCCTCCTTCAATTTTTTTGTGTCTGTTTTAATAATACAATAAACATGTATGAAACAACCTGAGAATGTCAACAATAGTTGACATCTACTGATGGGCTGCTTCCCTCCATACAACTTCCTTGCCTCCCCTCACCCAATTGTATGTTCATTATCCTCTTGCATTTCTTAAAAATCAGCATTATTGAGATGTTCGTTATATACTAACAAATTTACCAATTTTTAATGTACAGTCTCAGTTTTGACAAATATGTATAGCTATGTAAGCACCACCACAATCATGTAATAGGACATTTTTAGTTTATAGCTTTTTGTGTTTTCTTTCATTTTAGCTAATGCTTTTGAGATTCATTCATGTTATTGCATATTTCAACAGTTTGTTCCTTCTTAATGCTGAGTGTTATTCCATCATACCGATATACCATAATTTGTTTATCCATTCATCAAATGATGGAAGTTTGAGTTGTTTCCAGTTTGGGGCTGTTCAGAATAAAGCTGCTATGAACATTCATCCACAAGTCTTTATGTGGACATAGATTTCATTTCTCTTAAACAAATAACCAGAGAGTAGATTGGCTGGCTCATATGATAGATTTGTATGTAGCTTTTAAGAAACTGTGAAGTTGTTTTCTCAAAGTGGCTGTACCGTTGTGCATTCCTAGCAGTGTATGAAAGCTTAATCTAGTTGAGAGCTCTTCAACTGCTTTACATGGTCAGTCTTTTTAATTTTAGACCTTCTACCAGAAGTGTAGTAGTATCTCATTGTAGTTTTAATTTATATTTCCCTAATGACCAGAGATACAAAGTTTTTTCCGTATGTCGATTTTCCTTCTGTCTATCTTCTGGTAAAGTGTCTGTTCAGCTGTTTGGCCCATTTTGTTTGAATTTTTCTTACTACTGAGTTCTCAGAGTTCTTTATATCAGAATACAAGTCCTTTGTGAGATTTGTGATTTGCAAGCATTTTCTTCTTGTCTGTGGCTTGTCTTTTCATTATCTAAGTGAAGAAATTCTTAATTTTTATGAAGTCCATTGTATCAGGATCTTTTATGGGTCATGCTGTTGTTGTAGCTAAGAAATCTTTTCCTAGGTCGCCTGCATTCTGCCTTCGGCTCAGGTCATGTCTGGGATCAGTCCCGCGTTGGGCCTTGCTCAGCTGGGAGCCTGCTTCTCCTTCCTGCCGCTCTGTCTGACAAATAAATAAATAAAATCATTTAAAAAGGGGGGGCGGGGAATCTTTTCTTTACAAGACCGCAAAGATTTTCTCCTATATTTATTTCTGGAAGTTTTGTGGTTTTGCGCTTCCATTTTTATATGTGATCCATTTCAAGTTAACTTTTGTATGTGGTATGAGTTAGATAGAGTTTTGGGGTTTTTTTTGTTTTGGTTTTTTTTTTTTGGCTTTTTTTCAAATGAATATCCAATGTCCTGGCACAATTTGTTGAAAAGACTCCTTTCCCCATTGAACTACTTTGACGCCTTGGTCACAAACCAATTGATTCTATATGTTTGAGTCTATTTCTGGATTTCCTATCTCCAGTTATCTACATATCTTAAGTCAATATTATACTGTCTTGATTATTGTGTTTTAGTAAATCTTGAAATCGTGCAGTATGACCCCTTTTATTTTGGTTCTCTTTCAAAATTTATTTTGCCTATACTGGCTTCTTTGCATTTACATATAAATTTTATAATCATCTCATCTATAACTGCAAAAGTACATGCTAGGATTTTGATTGGAATTGCACTGTTGGGGAGAATTGACATCTTTAACATACTGAGTGTTTTCATCATGAATAGGGTATAACTCTGTTTATTTAGGTCATCTTTAATTTCCGTGGTGTTTTATGCTTTCCTTTGAACATACCTTGCCCAAAATTTGTTAAATTTATATTTTGGTACTTTATACTTCTAGGACATTATACTTTTTTTAACTTCAATTTCTCATTATTAACCACTTTTATCTATGTGTGTTTACATATACACACAAATTGATTTTTGTACATGGAACTTGTGTTCTGTGATTGCTAAATTTATTTATTCCGGTAGTTTTTTCTATAGATTTCTAAGGAGTTTTTATTTAAATAGTAATGTCTATAAATAAAGACATTTGGCTTTTTCTTTTCCCATCTCGTTGGCATTTTTTTTTTCTCGACCTACTGCAGTGGCTGAGATCCTTAAGTACAGTATTGGATAGAGTTGGTGAAAGCAGATAGTGTTAACTTGTTGCCCATCTTAAGGGAAGAGCATTCTGTCTGATGCTGTAGGGTGGATGGTGTTAGCTGTAGCATTTTTATATATGCCTTTATCAGACTGCAGACATTTCTTTTTATCTATAGTGTGCTGAAAATAGATACTGAATTTTGTCAAATGTTCTTTCTGGACTTAATGAGGTGATTATGTGGTTTTTGTCTTTTTTAGTCTATTAGTAGTATCAGTTACGTTGAATTTTGTTTATTGAACCAGACTTGCATTCCTGGAATAAACTCTACTTGGTCATAATGTATTATCCTTTGTTTAAGTTGACTGGATCATCTAAAGTTTTGTAAAGGATTTTTATGTCTGGTCATGAGAGATAATGATCTCAGGGATAATGTTCTTGTAATAGCTTTGCTTGGTGTTTGGTATCAGAATAATGCTGGCTTCATGAAATGAATTGGAAAGAGGATTCTTTTTCCCTATTTTCTGGAAGATTCTGCATAAAATTGGTATTTTTTCTTTAAATGCTTAATAGAATTCATCAGTGAAGTCATATATGGACTTGGAGTTTTCTTTGTTGGGCAAGTTTTTATATATGAATTCAATTTCCTTCATAGATAATAAGGCTATTCAGGTTCTCCATTTTTTTGAGCAAGCTTATAGTAGTTTGTTTCTCAAAGATTTTGTCCATTTTATTTAACTTGTTAAATTTATTGCAATAAAGTTGTTCATAATACTTCATTATTATTCTTTCAATATCTTTATACTCTGTAAAGATACATATCATTTATACTCTTTAATTTCTGATATTGATAATTTGTGTCTATTTTGTCCCTGATGAGTCTGGCTAGAAATTTATCAAATACCAGCTTTTAGTTTCATTGATTTTCCTCTGTTGTTTGTGTGTTTGCTATTTATTGATTTTAGCTATTCTTTACTTCTGCTTGCTTTTGGGTTTAATTTGTTCTTTTCCAGTTTCTCAAGGTAGAAGCTAAGATCATTGTCTTAAGGCTTTTTTTTTTTTTTCTAACATAAGCATTTAAAGCTGTCAGTTTCTCTTTTAGCATTGCTTTATCTGCGTGTTATAATACTATGTTTTCAGTTCCATGAAGGTCAGAATATTTTCAGATTTCCCATGATTTCTTCTTTGACCCATGTGTAATTTGGGAGTGTGTTATTTAATGTCTAAGTAAGTGCAGATGTTTCAGAATCTTTCTGTTACTGATTTCCTTTTTAATGCTGTTATGATCAGAGTGTGGTTGATCCTTATTATTTGTAAGCTCCTTATGTGCAAATTCACCTACTCGCTAAAATTTGTTGTGACCCCCAAAAATAATATGTATGATGCTTTTGCAATCATTAGTAGACATGTACAGAGTGGTGAAAAATTCATTATCTCCCAGTGCAAATGTTCCAGCTGAGGGCAAACAAGGCAGCATTCTGCTTTCTTATTTCAGCTCTCATATAGCCAACAAGTATCCTTTTAGTGCCTATTTAGTGCCATATTCTTTTCATTTTTTGTGCTTTTTGGTTGTGATTTCACTGTTTAAAATGGGAAAAGCTAGGAGTGGAAAAGTACTGAGTCAGAGTAGAAGTGGTGTCTTTAAGGTTTCTCTTTCTTCCCCTAATAAGGAGGCCTCATGAGAGGCACCTGAATTAGACTTTGGTTGGAGGTCCCAAAGAGAGGGGATTGAGGCACTTGGAGTAAGAATGCAAATGTGTATCCATAGCCAGCAAGGGATATCTGAGTTATTGACTGGAACTCCTATTAAAGTCTGCAGTACATTGGCTGTGCACCAAGTCTGCTGTGGGAAGGACAGCTCCCTGTGAGGCCTTCTGGGTAAAAGCCTTTCTAATTGCCTGTGGTTGGGCCTGAAAAATCACACATAGGTTTTTGGCCCGGAGCTGGGCTCCTCAGTTTCTACAAATAGTCATGTGGCCACAGCCATACCTATTTCTACTTCCCATTCCCTTAGCAAGTACCTCAGCTGGTCGTGGTTCTTTGCCTAGTGGGGTGACCTTCATTCCTAGAAGGTCTGGGCCACTAGCAGTCCTGCTTGGATTGAGTTGTCCTTTTCCATTAACTAATTACAGGCCCCAGTAGCACTAAGAGGACCCCCTAAGAGATCTGTCGTATTCAAGACCTACTGTTCCTTATTCCAGTTGTAAGTAGGAGAATCAGGATTGTAGCTGGAATCGGTGTAGAATCAGTGTAGTTGGTAATCAGGATGAATAGTCCTGGAAAGGGGCTGCTGTGCTACAGCAGTGCACTTTCAGATGTCGCCTGAATGTCCTACCAAACTATCTACACACCAGGCCCAAGTTTTCTCTTCCCCGATCATCTGGTCATAAGGAATTCCCCATGAGTCCATAGGGGCAAACTGGGACAGAGAAGGGGGAGTAAGGAAACTTTGGTCACTTGCTCATACAACGTGTGCCTTTAGGGTCTGCTCAAGCCCTTTCTCACATACACCAGTTCCTTTTGATCATGGAGTGGAGTGCTGTTGCACACCATGAACTTTATGGCTTAGTGGGCCAGA